TTGGGCAGTCGCGGAGTGCGGATAAAGTGTACATCCACTGCAGTGTGAGTAAACCAAATCTATTCGAATAGCCGTGCTCGTGGTTATTGAGCACCGAGACGTGTATTACACTTGGCTAGACTCTAAATTCTTAACTTGTGTGGGATGGGTTATTGCATGATGAGCTTTATGCTGATGGAGCCACTTCCTGAGATAAAGGAAGGCGGACGTCCTCAGAAAATCATGACGACTCAATGGCGGGAAGCTATCCTTGGGATCACAATGGATGGTGGACAGAACCGTCGTTGTATAATGTAAACATTGGTAGTAAAACTTGATTAGTCTATGCTAGGTCTTAGGCTTGTGAAAAGATTTGCAAAGTTTGCTTTACGCAAAAGAACCTGGAGCCCTTCCTTGAAATACCCTCTATCATATGCATTGTTGCTATGGTGGCTTGCTGAGTACGGTTGGTACTCACTCTTGCTATTTATATATCTTTTAGGAGGGTGTTGAAGAGAAGCCCTTGTTAGTACGCTTGTGTACCTGACAAGATGATCGGAGTGCGGTCTTGTTCTAGGTCTCGTTCCCCAGTCAACTGCCTGTGACATGTTAACCGGGCCCTTATATTATTTTGTCTTCCGCTGTTGTTCTCTGATAGTTGTTGGCCTACCTGGCCCTAATGTAAGTATTTAACTCTTTTAGCCTGAATTCATTCTTGATATGTTGTGATCCAACTATGTATGTGTGTACCAACTACTGATCCAGGGATTGGTATGGATAAACACAAAAGATTTCCGATTTCCAAAATCGGGGGTCTACACATATACACCTCGACCAGACGATCGCTAAGCACACTAAGAATGCATCCCACAAAGAGAGTAGTGGCCTCATCGATTTCTTTCTGCTGATCAGCATTAAGAACGCCTATAGGCTTGCCAGTACTCACCCAGAAGCATTTCATAGCTGTTAGCCACAGAGTGACCCTGATCTGCCATCTCTTAAAGTGCACACCGGTAAATTTATCCAGCCTCAGTGCATCGGTAAAACCAGCCATAGTAAAATCACAGCGCCTATAATAAGGTTTTTGGATTGTTGAAATTATAAGCACATAATGATTTAATTTATTCCATAAATGAATCATGACATTGCAGATGTAAACTAGCATGAACGCATCATTAGATCTACACATATAAACTAAGCAGTAAAGCATGAACAGATCAAATATATGCAGCATGTCGAACACGTACCGAGGTGGCGGAAAGACCGGTTGCTCGGTAGGAACTACTCGCGGTTGCAGGCGTCGACGAAGGCGCGCAGCACGCGAGCGGAGAGGAAGGTGAGCCGTCGCGGACGAACAGGCAGCAGTCGCGCGAAGCGCTTCCCAAAAACCTTATTGCCGCCTTCTCCCGGTGCAGGACGTCGAAGGCAGAGGTTCCGGAGACCTGCTCTCCCGATCGCCGGTGCACGTCGGTGAGCGAGATGGAGTAGTCTACGAGCGACGGCGCAGCACAGAGTAGGAGGCAAACCCTAGATTGATTTCGCGTATGTTGCGTGAAGGCGGCAGCTCGGTTTATATAGAGATAGGTCGCTTGATCAGGGCGTCCGCACGATCTCCACTCCACGTAACCGAACCGGATAAGTCGCGCATAACTTATCCGGACTACACGCCGTTTTCACGCACCGGATTTTTCGGAATGTTTCCAAAACAAAACAAATCCGAATTTCCTGCAGCAAAACAAAACTGCAAAAGGAGACTGCGGCGAGGTGAGCGAGCGCGTGTGTTTCCCCTCTTCTCTCCACCACACATGCTTCAAATGGCTAGGAGGGCATCCTCCCTTTTAAGGAGGTCCCCCTTTCCTAGAATAAGCAAGGTGGTACTAAACTCCACATGCATGCCATCTTATGAGGTGGGCTTTTGTGATTTTCCAAAGAATTAATCTTCGAATGGGCCTTAGCCCGTGTATTAATTCCAACAGTCATATACCTTTGAACAATTTCCATTTTTCTTGTCATACACCTTTGAACTTTTTTCTTTTTTGTTTCCTCCCTTTTTTTTAAACTTGCTCTTGTTGTCAAACCGGCGCCAAAGTAGTGAAGCTTCGCGCCAGGAAAATTACAGCAGCCAAAGCTCTTACGTGCGTCCTGCTGAGTTGGGCCGGCCCAGCAAGCCGAGTGGGACAGCAGATATTTCTGGCTCCACCGTTCGATAGGGACTGAGTGGCCAGATGCACGTGACTGCAGACACAAGTCATTTTGGTCGACTTTAGAGGATCTGATTCCTGGTGGTGGTAGCATGAACAATGTAAGAATTTTGTCGATTGCAGTGTCATCTAAAATCAAACAGACTACGCATGCAATAAGCACCAGTGGTCTAGTGGTAGAATAGTACCCTGCCACGGTACAGACCCGGGTTCGATTCCCGGCTGGTGCATTTGCTTTTTTTTTTATTTATTTTATTTTAGCGACGGTATATAGACAACATCACTTCGCAAGTTCTCAAAGTGTATGTATGTGCTTCCCATTTAGCCAATATATATCACTTCAATAGATTTGTTTTTATCGTTTTTGCTATGAAAGATGCATTGTGGACCACAAAACCATAAGGGCAAGTTCTAGTGTTAGTTCGGTAAGTTTGGACAATGGAAACTTTGGTTCGATGCCTTCAGTGTTAAAATCAATTTAGGAAACCCATGAAAATGAAAAATTCAATCTCACACTTCCCCTCACCCTCTCTCGCCCTGCCGCAACAAATATTTTTTTTTTGTTGGCTATGTTTAGGGATTGGCTCGTGAAAGCTTGGCGAAGAATATGCTCGGCTTGATTAACAAAATGAGCTAAAACAACAAATAAAGAAATAGAGCAATAATTCTTAACAATAGCTAGCAGCAAATAAACACTTCAACAATAGAGCAATCAATTTTCAATAAGTAAACAACAAGAATGGATTATAATCATACTCTTACATATCATATAGGCATTAAATAATGCAATGCAATAGCAAGCCAACAAGTAACGGCTGTGTTTATTTCCACGTCAAAATTGGAGGTTTAAAGAAATTAGAACGATGTGATGGAAAAGTTAAAAGTTTGTGTGTGTAGGAAAGTTCGATATGACGGAAAAGTATATAGTTTGAAGAAAATAATTTGAAACTAAACACGGCCATCGTATTTGAATTTCTGACATTTCACAAGATGACAAGACCACAATGTCCATTCTCCATTCAGCACGTACATGTCCAAACATGACACACATACGCATAATCTGACGAGTCATGACCACATCAAAATAGAAGTACATATAGTACATAACTTAGTCCACATTCCAAAAATCCAAAGTCTCCAATTTGCAAACTAATAGAGTAAGGGTTTGTTTAGTTTGCGAAAAGAAAATTTTTGAGTGTCACATCGGATGTTTCACCGAATGTTGGAAGGGGTTTTCAGACACGAATGAAAAAACTAATTTCATAACTCGCCTGGAAACCGCGCGATGAATCTTTTGAGCCTAATTAATCTGTCATTAGCATATGTTGGTTACTGTAGCACTTATGACGACTAATCATGGACTAATTAGGCTCAAAAGATTCGTCTCGCGATTTTCCCCTAGCTATGCAATTAGTTTTTTTAATCTATATTTAATGTTCCATGCATGTGTCAAAGATCGATGTGATATTTTTGGTAAAAAATTTTGGGAAACTAAACCAGACCTAAGTTGAGAATAGCAACTAGTGCATGGAGATTTGACACCTCCAGAAAGCTTCACATAGCAGGCTGCGACATGTGAGTTGTACGTGGTTTTCGATCAGACAAGGATGGATCGAACGATGGGATCAAGTACAGCTGTTTAGACTAAGGGGCAAAGTCGATCGTATTGAGACATATGACGAGTAGACTGACGGCGATAGACTAGTCAGGTTGTATATGGAATTATCTAGCGAAAACATAATATATCTGAGACTCGACGTCGTGTTGAGATATATGGAGTTAGACCATAACTGAAGAGAAACAACGGTGATTTTTCTCAAAGTGTCATGGGTCCAATATAAGGATGCGAAAAGGATAGATGTTGGATTTGTTTAGCTCAGTTCATAAAACAACATGGAAGAAAAGGATTCTCTTCAATAGTTTGGTGACTTTGATTTGCCTCTTTAGTCATGACATGGGTTATCTGGCCGTAGAATAGAATAGATAAAATCAAATTTAAGACGAAAGATGGAGGTGAATATAATCTTCGAGGAATCTATGATGTGGCAGCTAAGGAGCAGTCCAATTTCGTTTGGCAAAACGATTATGATAGTAAGAGAGAAGGTGAAGCACTGTTGCAGATAAAGTTAAAAGTAAGAAGTTACAAGGATAGCGTAGTCTCTTAACGACGGCGAGTCTAGTGCAGTCTCGTCAATCGGCTCACAGTGAAACTACAAAAAGAACCAACCTATGTCTGGAGGACATGTGAATCAATATGGTGATTCTATTACTTCTAGGTGACGTATATTTGTCAATGTGAAGTTTGTTAGAATAGGTGTCAAATATACTAGTCCCACTAGAAGTTGGAATATGTATATGATAGAGTTAGAGTCAGACTCTGTTATAGGTAAGGTGGGCACCACAATGTAACTATAACGACTATAATGTAGCGTAGATACGCAAGAAGATGATGATGGTGTGGCTATGGATTCATAGCGGCTAGGTGTTATGTTGGTTGGAACGGAGCGTTCATAATCAGAGCTTTGGGGATTAGGTTTCGACTGAATCTCGTTAACAAATATTGTGTGTTGTTGTGTTGTCATCTGATATATTTTAGGTGATGAATTGCTGAAGCCGTCAGGAAAGGTTAGTCATGCTTCAATTTCTCCCGTGCATGTCCTGTTTCAATTTCGTCCAAGTAACTCTGGTGTGGAATGGCATCACACACTCGTCAGCAACACGTCTTACATATTTCACCAACCCCGGGAAGACTACTCATCATTCGTTAGGTCGTAGTCGGGTTGGTAGGTACTTGGCGCCATCAACGATTCGACCAACAGATTAACGTTAATATAGGAGTAGTTAAATAATGCATTTGCATTTCAAAAGAAGGTGATCGATTAATTCATCCACTGATCCTCAAGCAGCAGCAGTGCAGCTAGGATCCCATTCCCATGGAGGCGGCGGACGCTGCCGACTCCGTGCTGCACGGCGACCTGCTGGAGTGCGTGCTGCTGCGCGTGCCGCACGGCGAGCTCACCGCGTCGCCCGCGCTCGTGTCGCGGGAGTGGCGCCGCGCCGCGCGCGAGGCGCACCAGCGCCACCGCCGGCGCCGGCGGCACCTCCCCTGCCTCGTGGCGCACGTCCACGGCGCCGCCGCTGGCGTCGGCCGCTCCACGCACGTGTACGACCCGCGCGCCGGGGCGTGGGCCTCCGATGGGTGGCGCGTCGCCGGGGCGCTCCCCGTCCGGCGGTGCGCCTGCGCCGGCGGCGACCGCGTCTACGCGCTCTCCCTCGCGTCCATGGCCGTCTCCGAGGACGCGGTCGGCGCCGCGTGGCGCGAGCTGCCGCCTCCGCGGGTGTGGCGTGTCGACCCGGTCGTGGCGGCGGTGGGTCCCCACGTGGTCGTGCTCGGCGGCGGGTGCGGGGCGACGGCGGCCGCGGGCGTGGTGGAGGTTCTTGACGAGGGTGCAGGGTGGGCGACGTGCCCGCCGATGCCGGCGCCGTTGGCGTCGAGGTGGGTGTCATCCGCCGCCTCGGAGCGGCGGGTGTACGTGGTGGAGAGGCGAACGGGGTGGGCGAGCTGGTTCGACCCGGCGGCGAGGCAGTGGGGGCCGGCGCGCCAGCTCCAGCTGCCCGAGGGCAACAACACCGCCTCCGTCGAGTCATGGGCGGCCTGCGGCGTGACAACGAGCGGCGGCGGAGGCGCCAGCGAGCGCCTCCTCGTGCTGGCCGGAGGCGGCGGCGGCAAAGTCTCGCTCTGGGGCGTGGACGGCGACACGCTGCTGCTGGACGCCGAGGCGAACAACACATCGATGCCGCCGGAGATGTCGGAGAGGCTCGGCGGCGCCGGCAGCATTGCCGCGGCCGCGGCCGGCGCGGCGAGCGGGTACGTGTACAACGCGTCGGAGCCGAGCAAGGGGGCGGTGAGGTACGAGCTCGTGGACGCTGAGGTTGGTGGCGGCCATGGCAGTTACAGTGACAGTGACAGCAAGAACGGTCGCCATGAGAAGACGTGGGGGAAACGTAGCAGTGGCGGTAGTAGGTGGGAGTGGGAGTGGTTGCCGTGTCCGCCGGCAGCTGCTGCAGCCATGTCGACGTCGTCCTCCGCCGTCGTCGTCTTTGCGTGTTGCGGATCATCGTCGGCTCCAAACAAATGATGTTATCTACTCCTATTGCTCCGTGCATGTATGTACAGTACGCCATCTAATGATGTTATGATGAAATGAGATGGTGATTGGTTAATTAGTGCTCAATAACTGTTTCTTACCGGCCGTTCAAACAAGAACAAGATTTCATGGGTCGGGCCAACCAAATTTGACCAGCTTGATACTTGTTAGGTGTTGCTGGTCAGACAAAGACCAAAGAGATCGTAGTTTACATACTATTGTGCTTTTATCATTTTTTAGGTTAATACTAGTAGTATAGTACGATACTCCCTCCGTCCTAAATCGTCCTGTGCATGCATCTGGGAGTCCAGGTCCGTCCGCGTCTCGAGCAGCAGGCCGGGAGTCCATGTTCGTCCAGAAGCCAAGCCTTGGGCGAGGAGTCAGTCAGGTTCACCAAACCGTTTTTGTGGTGTTACCATCACCTCACGGTTTAGCGGTTATCACAGTAACCCCACAGTTACGGTGAGATATACTGTGGTTTTAAAAAATAAGAAAGTTATCGCACGTGATAACCGCACGATTTTATAAACGTGATGAGTCAGGTTCGTCAAACTCAAATATAAACGCAAGTAGAAGCAGAAGAGACTACTCTCTAACCTTCCCTCCTCATCCACGCTACTGTACTTCAGTATTTCCTCGTTGAATTAACCTATCCAATTTCTCCCCAATTTTAGGTCGTTCTCACAACCGGCATTCTGGCAATGATGGTTCTCCCCAATTTTACTACTAGTATTACTACTATATATATTTTTTTGATGTATAAAAAAATATACACAGATGCAAACTTTGTATACGACGTGTACAAACTTTATATACAAGTATACAAACTTTGTATACGTACGTATTAAAAAATAAAAAAAACATCGCGTATATTCGTATATAAGTATACAAACTTTATATACGTACGTACGTGTATACAAACTTTATATATATCGTATACAAAGTTTGTATATATACGTATACGTATATGCTTTAAAAAACCGAAAAGGAAAAAAACAGAAAAAAAACCAAAAGGAAAACCGCAAAAAAGGGAAAAGAAACCAACGGAAAAAACCAGCGGGCCCCAACCTACGCACGCGGCCACACGCTGCCGCGCGGCCCCCTCCGCGCACGCCATGTGCCTCGCCGCGCCGGGGGGGGGGGGGCACGCGGCTGATCGCCTTTTAGCTCTTTCGGAGGGGATCCCGCATATTCTCGGTTCAGATTTTGTATTTTAAGGAAACGGATTTTATGCATTCTACTATTTCTTTTGTTATTATGATTGTTCCAGAGAGAAAATTTAATCTCTGAATATGATTGTTAGGGTATGTATAATGGTTGTCAATAGTGGAAGAAAGAGAAAGAGGAGAGACAAAACATTGTTGTTATGTATAACAACGACTTTTAATCACTATAATATATATAGAAATATGGTTGCATGAGGGTAAAAAAAATGAAAAGAATATTAACAAAAGGAATATTTTTTGAGTTAATGATTAGAGTCTTTGTCGTGTTAACTATTATAAAGACACGGTCTCTAGATAATCTTATATTGTTTAAGAGACCATACTCGTCTCTACCATTGAACATGCCCTTACAGTTTACCAATACGGAGTAGCATGTGTTTTGTACTAGCTTACACTGATCTGATTTCCACCCAAATCCTAGATCACTCCGGGGGGAATTGGTTAAGATCTAATAGGTAATTCGGACTATTAAATTATTTATTTGTTTTAGGGTTTGGTTCTTTACATTGACCTGATAATTTGGAAAATAGTCATATCATGAAAACTGAACCTTAATCATGCAATGTTTATCATAAAATTAGTTTATCCCGTTGCAATGCACGGGTATCTTTTATAGTACTATATTATTTTCCAACTATGAAACCAACATCATACCCAATTTGGCCACACAAATCCATGCATCCACTAGGTCATGTATCATAAGCGATGCAAAACCCCCTTTAATCTAATTAGCACTACCCAGACCACAATTTCATCTAAATAATTAAAGTACAAGTGATCGACATCTCATCACAATTAAATAAAAAACATTTGCCTGTTTCATGTCTAAGGCATGTATCTTGAGACAGAGATAATCATAATAATATATATTTGATTGGACTCGAACAAAAAAACAGTAGTAACATAGGTTTCCATATCACATACAAGCGTCTGTATGAAAAGCAGAGCTAAATTTGGATTGGAGTCCAAGTTTAGAAATGTTGAAGTTTGGAATTGTAAAAGGATGTTGTTTCCCTAGTTTGAGTGGTTTCCTATGTAATTAGGATTTCTAGTTCTATTAGGATTTGTGGCTAGCCGCAACAACCATGTTTTGAGTATAAATAGAAGAGGGGTTGAGGCTAAAAATACATCGATTTTTTGGGAGAAAAAACTTAGAGTCTGCTTTGAGCTTTCAATTCTAGTTCGTGAGTTGAGACGGGAGTGATTTGGATGCACTTTATAAACACATCTTGATATAATAAAGCTGATCCACTTTCAAGAGTTTCATCGAGGCATATCTATACTTTCTATATATTTTGTACCCACTAGCAATTATTAAAAGCTAAAGCTCAATATGCAAGTATGTCACCTCATCACCCATTAGCAATTTACATGTTAAATTTTATATAAGCATGACGCATCATCTTGTCCCCCACATCATTTTCACAACATTTCAACATTCATCATTTGTACAATATTTCACATATATCCATCCATCAATTCCACAGCAAAGCGCGAGGTATCACCTAGTTTTTCTAAATCTCGACAGCCAGACCAGCGGGCAATCTAACCAGCAGCAAGCAAGTGGTCGAATTGGCGGTAGCGAGTAGACAACAGACGAGTAGTCTGGCCGGAGGCTCCAAGGCGGTTTGACTAGCGGCAAGGTAGTGCGGCACATCAATAGTCTAACAAACATTGATCCAACAGTTTGACCGGTCGCATCTCCACTCCACCAGATTTGAGGGTTTTTTAATTCTACAAAAGGATTTGGTTTTTACTGTTCGTATCATTCACCCTCTCTGGTAGGTTGGTCCTTATATTCGATCCTACTGAGTACAAACTTGTGCAATTTAGAATTGATTGATATGGATACGGTAATCCGCAGGGACACACACGAAATTGGACCCAAAGGCATTTATTTTTGTTTTGTAGTATCTTCTCTGGCTCGATGTCATCATTGATGTCGGAGATGGTGAGTAGGACGAGGTGTAGCAACAAAGTAACGGGATGATTGAAGCTACAACGAGAATGGCAACGTCAGAGACCTCAAACACCACGGCATGTACTCGGGGGACCTTATCGCAGACATGGATTGCGATGTTCGAGGCAGCTAAGCCTACGTGGCAGATCCATAGGCCCGCGACCACTAGGTACATGAGTGCGTCATCGGCGGTCACGGTTTCACGACTGCGTGCTACAATGACCATGACAACAATTTGCACCAGTTGTTAGAATGTAGCTCTAGGAGACACTCGCCACACAGTCTCTAAGCTGTCCCTTGTCTCCCTCATCACCCTTGTTGCATGCGCAAGGAGCTTGAAGCATGATGGCAGGTTGTGAGAGAAGGCCGGTGGCACATCAGCGACAGTAGCAAAGGAGCTTCAGCAAACAAAGACGCCACCACCAACGATTGCTTAGGAGGATTGGACTGGCATTAGCTATGTCACTGGTAGATGGGACTCATGAATTATTTATATTTTGTTTATAACTGTAATGACATATAAGCACCACATAGGGGCCACAACAGATGAAGACCATGTCAACCTGTCGTGTGGAACGAAACCACCATCCAAAATTGGATGTTTTCCCCTTTTTTTTCATTGCAGTTCGGCTCCGCTCTGTTGGGCCGAAGCCACCGATGTTGGCCCAACTTAAGTCCACCGAGGTTGGTCACGGTGGGGAAAGGGCCACCAGCTCTCCGGCGTCCCCCGGCAGCGCTTCCTCCCTAAACCAACCTCAGCCTCGGTTGCTCCGTGCCCGTGCGTGCGATTCCGCGTCTGCCGCTGCCGGCCGCCGACCGCCGACCGCCGGTGCGCACCTTCGCCGAGGGAGGAGGAGTCTGTTATCGAGCAATTTCAACAAGGGCGGGGCCTTAATCTCCTCGTGCAGCTTGTAAACCTCAGAGTAGGGGTGGGAAAGGTAAAGCGTTCTTGCTTTTGGGGGCGAAGTGTACAAAGATTAACTAATATATTACTATATGGTGACAACTTCCTAAACATGATGTTGAAAGAGGTAGTGATATGCTAGCTTTACTTTTCTTGCATGTATCCACTACTAGGCAGCTAATTTGTTTGAACCTCCGAGGACCTACATGTGTTTGATGGTATTCAATCTGTGCTCGTTTTCTTTTCAGAAGTTTGGTGCGTGGATTAAATTAGCTGAAAGAGAAATTTGGGAGATGAGTGAGCTTGCGAACAAGTTCTTGGTTCTTCATCTAGATGGTGAAGGTGGTGGAGCAGATGATACAGAAGAAGCACTGATCCAAACATCTTCCAGCATCAAAGAGGCTGATGCCGGTAAAACCTGATTGTTACCCCTGTTCTTCTAAAGTAAACTAAGTAATGGATTATGGCATTACGCTGATATAGATTTCCGCTGCTTTATTCCTGCATAGAGAATTGCTACTGTAACTCATGTTTACTCCAGTATTCTTAGTTTAAGCAGTTACATTTTGTATAGTATGCCTGGGGGTTCACTGGACTACAATTTAACTTGAATTAAAAAAAAATCCAGCAAACCACGGTGCCTACTTTTGTACTGAATTCAGTTAGCCTTGCAAAATGTTTTGCTCTTTTGACATTATAACCACATGCCCTATATGTTTTAGAATATTTGATGTTTGATCTTGAATAAATTCCTTTTCTGTTATGTTGAAAATTTATTTACAATGGACTTGTTCCATAAGCATGTCTACCAGCGTCATGGTATGTATCTTATTAGATAAAGGAATTTTCATTAAGCAAATGAAAGCATTATGATACATGTAAGGAAGACCCTTTTTCTTACCTGTAACTACAACTGACACTTATGTTCATGTCTTATACGATTCTTTCCATTGAATTTCTTATTCTCAATCAATATATATTCATTAATGGGGTTAGATGTTGCATCCACCATGCAGGTGAAAATGCGCTGAGTGACACGTTGGTACTAAATTACGATGAAGGATCTCTTGTATCATCATCTGGTGATTACCAGATGCCTTTGGTGTGGATAGACTTGGAAATGACTGGTGTGTTTTTTGAGTTATCACTTGTTTATCTTGCAACATTATGGGAAGAATTCATTTTTATGTTGCATTTTCATTACTTTTTTCGTCCTAACAGTTTGTGTTTTTATCATACTTCAGAATAGAATGTTTTATTATTTTTATTATAATGTTTCTCTAAGGAGAGATATGGTATCATTTCGTTATTAATGGACCTTTAATAAGTATATATGCACACAGTTGATATGTAAATGACAAATCATTCAAGATTGCTCAGTGGTCTGGATTATATAGCAGTAATTTTTTAACAGAATATCAGTGGTCTATTAACATGGTATCAAGCCATTGTTCACTTGTTCGGTCTGGATGATATAGCATTTTTCACAGAATATCAGTGGTCTATTAACATGGTGTCAAGCCATTGTTCACTTGTTCATTGTGAAAAGGGAGACATACATCAAATTTCTGATGTGTGGGTTTCATTAGTCGGGCTATAATCTTGGATTCTAATGAACAACAGAACAAATTTCGAACCAAATATGGTTATCTCCAGATCTCCTATATCCTATATAATTGGTTAGTTGGTGGTCTTCAACATCCAATAAGAAGGATAATACTGGAACTTTGGTAGTGATAGCTAAATGTTGTTTGATTTCTGATCTGATGATGGTTGCTGCAGTTGGGAATTTAATCACTCTTTGCATCTCTTTCTCTCAATTAATTGTTTTATGTATAGTTAAAAGAAATATATTTCAGATCATGTTTTGTCTTTTTTACATCATACCTAAAATAATTAGGTAGGACTAATGGGAACTCACTTATTGGATAATGTAGGTTTGGATGTTGCAAAGGATCGGATATTGGAGATAGCTTGCATCATAACGGACGGTAAACTTACAAAACAAATAGAGGTGGCAGTTGAATTTAAATACCTTCGTAGTTTGTTCTACATATATTCTGGATACTGTAATTCGTACAACACAATGGTGTTCTTTTCATCACATCCGCTATTTTGATTAATACTAGATGAGTGACCGTTGAATGCTACAAATATCATATGTTATGAAACCCACAGCTATTTGTTAATCTAGTCTGTTCCTTAGTTCTTTGTTCAGGTGCCAATTGAATATTATGACATGACTGTTTTTGGTTATGCAGGGCCCTGATTTGGTTATAAATCAGAAGAAAGATCTGTTAGATAACATGGATGAATGGTGCAAAACTCATCATGCAGCTAGTGGTAAATTGTTTGTATTTTTTTTCCTGAATACACAGGAGATCTGCGTATCATTTCATTAAGAGAGAGGTTGTTTGTTATATTCAAAGTACCATTTTCTTGTTGTGTGTTAATTTTCTAAATATTAATCTTATGACATGTGAAACTTATGTAGGATTGACACAGAGAGTACTACAGAGTACGATTTCAGAGCATGACGCAGAGACACAAGTATGCATATGTTTACCCTCGTATTTTTCAACATATTGGTAGACATGCTTATGAAGTTACATCACTCAACCAATATGTCTCAATGTTTAAACCTTTGGTGTAGTTTAGGACTTCTTTAGTTGCCTATTTGCTACTTGAAACTCACATTTCGTATAACATTTTGGTAAATGTATTTATATCAAATAGTCATCATGATTTAAATTTGCAGTATAGTTTCATTTACTTATCCTCATTCTGAATAATATGATATTTGTCAGAATAAGTGGCTCTAGTAATATATTGTATTCCTATAGGTCTAGTTTACGCCCAGAACTACAGGGGTTAGTCTACTTGACTCCCTGATGGAATGATGACTATGTAACGAGCTAGAGATAACTGCACAAATCTTAAATCCTAATTAGGTGCTGCTGGTAGCGTCCCCTGTCTGAGCCCCTTGCATCCTCCATGGCTGTGGCTTGCCCATGACAAGATATAAATTAATGTGTATCTTGAAAGATTACATAGTTACACTAATGTTTTTGTAATAGAAGCTTCTGTTGGTCCATTTGCAGGTGTTAGATTTTGTTAAGAAGCATGTTGGTTCATCTCCTCCATTAATAGCTGGGAATTCTGTTTATGTGGATTTACTATTTTTGAAGGTTAGTAAGAATTGCCCTTTAGAGGTGTCATATACTAGCTGGGATATTGATGCTTTATTTCTTTTACTTTGTGCAACACAGTGAGAAATGATACACAGTGAGATGAGCATTTTTTTCTGGGGACATTTTCTGGTCATGGACCAACACATCTGCCCATTATGAATTCTTCACTCTGAACGCATGTTATTGCACAAATATATGCTCAATATTTCTTGCGATACTAGGCATAACATATTGATCATTTTTGCAAGGTTTTTCCATTTTAAATATGACTTATAATCCCTTGGAGGATGATATTTCTATTTTATACTTTTCTTTACAGAATTATATGCCGCAGCTTGCAGCCATCTTCTCTCACGTTATTGTTGATGTGAGCAGTATAATGGCTTTGTGCATCAGATGGTACCCCAAAGGTGAACTAAATTTTTTAAGTTCTGCCTGATGAGTATTAGTGTTTGACTGTTTTCCTAATTCCTATCAAGTCTGGGATATTCCATTAATTTATTTGGTAACTGCACTTATTTGTCTGCCAATAGGGATACAGTTTTCCTATTTCTTAACAGTATTTTTGCTTCAAGTGTTGCAATGCCATGAAGAATTGCAACTCGTATTATGATACTATGGAGAAGACTTTTTTTATTTATTTATGATGTTTGAGAAGACAAATAAAACAATTCAATGCCAATATTCTTCCAAGCCTACTATGATCTTGATCCTTACATACCCTTATTTGATGACACGTTACAACTAGTAAATCACTCTCTCAACACTAAAAATCAAGCTAAGAGTAGGATCATTGCAATTGCTAAACTTTAGATTTCTTAACTGAAGTCGTGAAAGTACACAACTATTATGAAACAGAGCCAGGGTGTAACTAAACAATTGCCATGAATAAATACTCCAGTTTGTTTCCAAACAAAAAGAAAAATCTCCAGTTTCAGTAGAAAAACTAGCCAAATGACAGCATTTGTTAGCCTGGTACATATCCCTGTTAAATTTTAACATCATGATAGTTGTTGTTTTATGCTCCCTCCATTGACAAATGTAAGTCCTAAAGTTTGAAATTGAATGGTCTTGTTAAAAATTGTCTTGTATGAAGCTTTTTAATGAGGTTTCATTACTGTGCATCTTTTTTACTCTCTCTCTCTCTCTCTCTCTCTCTCTCTCTCTCTCTCATATGCATTTATGTATTACCACCCACATCTTCATAATCCCAAAATAATTACATTTGTGGTGCATTTCAAGTTTTTATCATCTATATCCTTGTGTGAAGTCAACGTGCGCCTATGTTAATCAACAGAGGGAGGAGATGTTTAGATTTTGCGCCAACTCAAATTAGAGCTTTAGTTCTACTGAGGTTCAATGTAGTGACATTGTTCTATCAAAGGTCATGTTGCTGGCTGTGCCAGCATCTTCCACGCATCATTAAATTCTAAATTCAAGATCTCCTGTGATGTGAAATAAATCGTGCAAATATATCGATGAAACTTGACATCCTTTGCCACGTTCTTCGCAGAAAGGAAGCGAACTCCTCAAAAAGGGAAAAAACATAGGGCAATGAATGATATCAAAGAAAGCATCGCTGAACTGAAATACTACGAGGACAACATTTTCAAACCTCAAAAATCTAAGCAGTAGCTACATGGATGGAGCATGGTGGGCATCTTCATGATGGACAGCAAATCGATTCACATGCTAGCCATGATTGAAAATGGATTTTTCATATCAATATTTCCAAGTGTCACTTTGACCTCGTATTTAAATACGTGTTTTGTTTTCATGTCCATTGATCAGTGCCTGGATGTAAGTATGCCTATGTTATTCACCTGTGAATGGTATTGGATCTATGAGCACGGGAGCCCATCACGGTCAGAGATAGCAGTTATATCCGTGTATTGTCCCATTTTGTCAGGTGATATCCCTTTATATAACTGTAATTTCTTGCACATCTGTTTGCATTCATGTATATTCTATTAGGTGAAATTAAATAGGAGATAGTTGTGCTTGGTTAAGATATGGAAGTAGATGGAGAAATTAAATATGAGATGGTTGTGATAGTTGAGATAAGTGAGTATATGGAGAGGTTGCCATATTGTGGAATAAATTTTAAATACTACAAATCGTTATATTTTGGGATAAAAGGGGACATACTTTATCTTTATTCCAGAACATTGGATACCCACTCTGGGAGATGACATTATAACAAATATCACTTAAAATATTATAATTGTTGTTCTAATCCCACTCTAAATAGGTTTTTTTTTTGAACTTTGGCAATTATAATATGATTTCTAAGTAGGACTATCATTTGCATTGATACTTTTGCCCTTGTCTAAGTTTCTCTTCATTATCCAAGAAGATTAAATAATTTATATCAAGAATTGATAAATATGAATATGTACACATCTCAATTTAGTATGTATTAACTTAATTTTGAAATTCGAAATTAATAGAGTAATTTTTAGAAAGCTTCATCTATTATGGTTTAAGTTGCACAAAACCTCGGAGATTTTAGCACGTGACACATAACTTCGGGTATTATAGTATTATATAAAGTTTTATAAAACCACACCATTAACCATTATAAGCAAGAGGCAGGCCTGGAGACGTCCAGTCCATTGTGCATGTTATTCTCCCTCTTCTTTCCTGGGTTATTACTGGAGGTTTGTACCAGGGTATGGAGCTTCTCTCTTCTGTACTGCGTTGAGTTTGTTGTGCTGTTAGACCTCGTCGTACTTCCATTTGGCGTGCACCGGATTGGGAGGTGAGCAGGATCTCCAAATTGTTGCCGCGGAGAACACCTGCAATTGGACTGGAAAGTAGCAGGGGATTGGGAGTTTGGGGCTAGAGAAATAGAGTGTTTGAGGAAGGGAAGAATCAGGAGGAAGAGGAGACAAGGCAGCAGCCTTCTGTTCTATTGTTCATAGGCCTTGTTTAGTTGGGGAAAATTTTTGGGTTTGGTTATCACATCGGATATACAGATACACATTTGAAGTATTAAATGTAGTCTAATAACAAAACAAATTTCACTAGGGAACTGCAAGACAAATTTATTAAGCCTAATTAATCCGTCATTAGCAAATGTTTACTGTAGCACCACATTGTCAGATCATGGCGCAATTAGGCTTAAAAGATTCATCTCGCAATTTACACGCAATCTGTGTAATTGTTTTTTCCTTACATTTAATACTTTATGCATGTTCTATGACGGCGTGAAAATTTTGTTTTGGGAACTAAGGGGCTGTTTGGATGGGACTAAAAATTTTTAGTCCCTGTCACATCGGATGTTTAGACACTAATTATAAGTATTAAACGTAGACTATTAATAAAACCTATTCCATAACCCTGGACTATTTCGCGAGACGAATCTATTGAGCCTAACTAACCCATGATTAACCTATGTGATGCTATAGTAAACATGTGTTAATTATGGATTAATTACATCTCATTTATGTAATTAGTTTTGTAAGTAGTCTATATTTAATACTCCAAATTAATGTCCAAACATTCGATGTGACAGGGACAAGTTTAGTCCCTGGATCCAAACACCACCTAAACAGGGCCTCCTGGTTGCAACGAGGCTAGGTTTCGTTGTCTTAGAGCAAGTTTAAAAGTATAGCCAACTACTAACTCCAAATCATCTATAGTCGATTTAATAGCCAATTCATACAATATTTACCTATAAACATATATTACACTATTGATACATGGTCCCACCTGCCATACACACACTGCGTCTTGGAGTTCGTCCTGCAGCTGATTATAAATCTGTAGCTCACTGCTCTTCTCTCTCCTCTTTTATCTCTTTAAAATATGTTTATAGTTAGCTTAATAGTCTGCTATTGTACCTGGCTAACTGCTCTTATCTCTCACACATTAAGGGCAAGGCCAATGATGTGTAACAGTTGACAATAAGGGTGTGGTCCACCGTAAGTAGTAGTAGCAAATATGGATCTTCCTACTACCTCCGTCCCAAAATATAGCAAAATAGCAGTTATGGCCCCATGTCCAGATTCAAATTCCTATAATGGGTCTCATCCCATCCTAGGTTGCTACATTTTGGGACGGAAAGAGTACAATGGTTATAATGTGTGTGGGAGAAATTAGAGTGGGTCCCATTGGTCTCAGTGGGGATAAAAATGAATCGGATCGTATTAACACCAAAATTAGTTGATTCGGTTAAGAAAAGAAGCCGATTGGTAGATGGAAGTTTTTTCCAGATCAAATTGAATTCAAAGAGGAATTTGTCATTTAAATTTTCTTCTAATTATAGAATACAACGATGGGTATTTGTCCTTTAAATAAGAAATCCCTAATCACTTATCCTCCGACCTGCTCACAATTGACAGTCACAATTGACAGTTACATGAGACCATGTGTGTGACTGTCAATTGGCAGTATATGAAATAAATATACTTCCAACAGACCCAGACCACGGTTTTCCTAGCTTAAAAAAACTCCCGATACAATTGGCAAATATTGAAATACTCTGACAAAGCGCTCATCACCCATCACCGTATCACCCCCCCTACAGTACCAAGGAAAACACGAAATATCCCCCCGTGTCATACGGCCAGGCATAGCAGTGGACACAAATAAACAGAAAACAGTGCCGTCGCTTCGTCGCGTACTTGCAGGCCATGCACGTCGCAAAGATTCCCATCCATCCATCCATCCCCTCCCCTTGGGCGCGTTGCGTTGGGGCGGAAATCCCGACGCACGCGCCGCCCTCCGATCCGCGCGAGAACCACCGATCCACACCCACAATCCACACACAAAAACACTCGCCGGCACGGGCATTCCACCCTGTTGGGCCCCGTCTGTCTCTGCCCCACCCACGCATACTAGGAAGGCAGGGGAGACGAGGAGCCAGAGCCAAGTCAAGCCGCTTCCTCTCCTCTCGTCTCGGCGCCTCACTCGATCTCCTTCCTCCACTGTCGCTCAGATCGACGCGGGCCATGGCCAAGCCTAGGGCCTCCGCCGCCGCGGCGAAGGCGCCAGCCTCCACGCCGCCCAAGACGGTGCACTCGGCGCTCGTCACCTACGCCTCCATGCTCTCCCTCCTCTCCCTCTGCCCGCCCTTCGTCATCCTCCTGTAAGCGCCGCGCCGCATCTCCCTCTCCTCCGCACCCGATCTGTGACCTGACCCCCGAGATTTTTTTGGGTTTTGCGTGCGTGCGTGCGTGCGCGTGCGTGCGGGGGCGTTGCAGGTGGTACACGATGGTGCACGCGGACGGATCCGTGGTGCGGGCGTACGAGCACCTCCGCGAGCACGGGGTGCTGGAGGGGCTCAAGGCCATCTGGCCCATGCCAACCATGGCCGCCTGGAAGATCATCTTCGGCTTCGGCCTCTTCGAGGCCGCGCTGCAGCTTCTCCTCCCCGGGAAGCGCTTCGAGGGCCCCGTCTCCCCCTCGGGCAACGTGCCCGTCTACAAGGTGCCTTGTGCTGGCTGCCATGGACTCTCTTCTCAAATGCATTGCTCTAGCCTCTCCGAAATGGAGAGAAACGTATCACATTATTTTACCACCCCCCCCCCCCCCCCCCCCCCGAAAAAAGAAAAAGACTATTGTGATAGTATTTTTTGCTCATGTCCTTTTAGTTAATAATTATCGTTTTCTCTGTTTTTTTTTTGCTCTCTTTCTTTCAGGCAAATGGCTTACAAGCATATGCAGTGACCTTGATAACATACCTGAGCCTGTGGTGGTAAGATAGTCTTCTTTCCTTATGTGGACCTGCTGATTGAGGATACAGTTCAAAACTTGGGATTACGACACTCAACATTCACCTGCCTTCTCTGTTCAGCCATCTAGCAAATTGTCTGTCTGTCCATGCTTGCTTGTTCCCTCGATAACTATGCCTATCTATACTATTTATATGATAGTGGTCAGCCGGAATTTGTTAGCTAGTGATTGTGAAAAGTAGCTTTGAATGTATAGCCATTATGTTCTCCTGACTTCGATCTAATTTAAAATACCATGCTTAATAAACAGCATTTTCTCAACTGTAGCAACTATAGCTTCCCCATTATCATGATGGCTGACAGGACAATTTCATACACACTTCTTTGGTTGCCTGTTGTGGTTGTTTAATTCTCGAGGACTCAAGGTGCCATACTGTCCCACAAACATTCCAACATACCTTAGTTTATTTTGAAGTTAAAATAGTTACTAATGCCACCCAAACACAAATCAACTCTTGGAGCTTGGCACCAATTTTTTTACCTGAAGTTGCTAGGTTAAGCCGTGTGGTCCCCACCTTCTTACCATCTTGCCCATGCTATCCACTGCGGATGCTTTTGGGTACTATCCGTTCTCATTAAAAGCACCACCATGGAAGTTGGGACTTGGGAGTGAACTCTAGCAAAAGCACACACAGGCAACTTAGAGCACTTAAACATGGGCTTGTTTGTTGCATTATTTTCTCCCTTTCAAATTTGAGTAGAGTAGTTGTTATCCTGGATTAATGCACGCCTTGCACGAGGCTCAAATTGATGAAGGAGCTTCGATGCACCTTAGCATATGATGAGCACTATAACATATTAATATTTCACCCATGATTTTGGTACATTACACAATGGAGGAATCAGGAAACCATTAATAACTTGTTCTGCATATTTTCAAATTATATTTATTTTATTTTTATATTGTGTTTGTGACAACCCTTTTTGTAAGCTACACCATGGTGATTCAAAGCCTTTTATTGTACAATTATCATTTGTATAGCCACTATTCGCCTAAACCATTTTATCATCTGTCAGGTTTGGAATTTTTAACCCTGCAATAGTATACGATCACTTGGGGGAAATATACTCTGCTCTTGTATTTGGAAGCTTTGTGTTCTGTATTTTTCTGTACATAAAGGTGAGCTTATTTATTAGGCTTGTTATTCTTTATGTAGATATGTACCATGCTTCGTTTATTGATGGGCTACCCTTCTTTTTTCTCCATTTAGGGTCATCTTGCTCCATCTTCATCTGATTCTGGATCCTCAGGGAATGTGATAATTGATTTCTACTGGGTGAGTTACATTTCTTGCATGTGATGGGTTAATTAGATCGATCAATTATATGGACTTGTTCTATCATTAGTATTGTATTAGCGATGACATTCTTCACCTGTGTTTATATTTGATAATTGATACACAGTGATAGTGTTTATTATTTATTTTCTCTTTTTTTGTGGGGAGGTATTTTCATTATTTTGATTTTACATGAATTTTTCTTTACTTGTGTATATAACATGTAACATTCCAGGGAATGGAACTATATCCTCGCATTGGTAAGCACTTTGATATCAAAGTGTTCACAAACTGCCGTTTTGGGATGATGTCCTGGGCTGTTCTTGCTGTAACCTACTGCATAAAGCAGGTCAGAATACTATAATACTCTGGTGATATGCTAGCTTGCAACTTAGAGGCACATCTATGCTTTGGTTGCTATCCAATATCTAGTACTTTTGTACATAGAACTCACTTATGTGCTCTAAAATAGTACAATGGGAATGTAAAAGATAGAAAGCTTTTGTTAACATTATATGATTAAGTTATCCACTAAACTTAGTTGATTTCTTTGAACTTTGCAATGCAGTATGAAATGAATGGCCGAGTTGCAGATTCAATGCTTGTGAATACTGCATTGATGTTGATCTATGTCACCAAGTTCTTCTGGTGGGAATCTGGATACTGGTGCACTATGGACATTGCTCATGATAGAGGTTGGTAGCTCCTATGTTTTTAATTACATGCATCTTAACGTTTCAAAATATGATGTTTGAAAAGAAATTTTCTCCAAAATGAAATGCTGTATGTAGGTTAATTCTACAAATTTATTCATGTTCTTTAAAGTTAAGAATAGTAGCTCCTTACATTCAAAGGATGTCACCGTGATGTATGCAAGTGCTTAAATGGTGTAATTAACTCAACTGTCTCATAGTGAGACAAGCTAAGTTGACCTGCGAAGATAACCACAACCCCCTCCCCCCAACCCCCCAAATAATAATAAAGTTAAATAAAGTAATACACAAGTGAACTTAATAAATTTATATACGACAAAATGTGAAGACTGTTAATATTGATTTTTCTAGGTTACCACATCATCATCATAAAACTTCTGGGCCATTACCAGTTATTACTATTTCAAAGAGGTTTTGCATGTAAACTTGAAGATACATGACCCTGTAAACCTCAGTCAATCATTGCAGAAATGCTTTCATCAGTGTATCTTAACAAGTTCATCAGTTACTGATCCTCGTAGATGCATTTAATTAGTTGTGTGGATCGAACACAACGGTGTAAGTTACATGTTTTGCAAAAAGAGAAGCCGCCGGCGGCAGCACCAACTCTATTTGCTAGATAAGGACCCATCAAAGCAAGGGGTGGGTAAGAGAGGGCATTGCGTAAGGACACATTAGCATCAAGGTATCGGCATGGATTTTTTTTTTGGAGGGGCAAAAGATGTACCTTGGATTTATGTTCTACAGATCAGATTGGATGGGTATCTCACTGCACCTAGTAGCTAACATATGGATGCCATGACAAAAATCTCAAGCCCTAGGGCCTGAGGCCCTAGCTGTCCTAGGCCTGATACCACCCCCAATTATAAAAAAAAACGCACTTAGTGACCTCACTTGAATCAATTGTACAAGTTCGATTACTAGATACTTAGTTTCTTAGTTTACAGTGACCTATTAGAACCACCATGACAAATTTGATGAAGCCAAGGTGTATTTTATTCTAATAATCCCTGGAAGATGTAAATAAAGTGAACTATTTGAACCACCATGACAAATTTGATGATGCCAAGGTATTTTATTCTAATAATCCATGAAGATGTAAGTTTGAAATGAGAAGCCAGGATTGGATTGGTATTGTCGTGTGATTAATTGATACAGCACTCAACTTTTAATTTGCAAGCATGCACTATTTTGCTGACATATATTTCCTACCAGCTGGTTTCTACATTTGCTGGGGATGCTTGGTATGGGTTCCATCAATATACACCTCTCCTGGAATGTACCTTGTCAACCACCCTGTGAATTTGGGTCCCCAGGTTCATCTTTCAGAATGTTTTTCTTTCATGTGTTAATTGTATTTGAATATACTGTTTAGTTCTACCAGATGATGATTTGTGATTGTTGTCTAACAGTTGAAATGAATATCTGTTAAATTTGTTGCAGCTAGCACTCTCAATTCTCCTTGCTGGAATATTGTGCATATATATAAACTATGACTGTGATCGTCAGCGCCAAGAATTCCGTCGGACAAATGGGAAATGCTCAATATGGGGCAAAGCTCCATCTAAGGTTGAAGCATTAAATATTTAGCTGCTTCCAAATTAACAAATAGCATGTTTATAACATTGCTGACGTCTTTATTTTGGTGGAACTTTAGATTGTTGCTTCCTATCAGACTACAAATGGAGAAACAAAAAGCAGTCTTCTCTTGACTTCTGGATGGTTAATATATTCGTCATTTCTTCTTTACATAGTTCATCAAAAGTGATTTGTACCATGTTTGTTTCAATAGAGGCAATGAATGGCTTTTGAGCATGCACCCTCATTTTCCATTTGGACAGGTGGGGCTTGTCTCGTCATTTTCACTATGTTCCAGAGATTCTATCTGCTTTTTTCTGGACAGTTCCAGCTCTTTTTGATCATGTAAGCACACCCTGATTACAATTTATCTCGACTTTAGCCAGGATGGTAATAACTGTGGTCCCTGCTTTCGTGTAGTTCCTGCCGTACTTCTATGTGATCTTTCTGACCATATTGCTGTTCGACCGAGCTAAAAGGGATGATGACCGATGCTCATCAAAGTAAGTAAACTTTACCACCTGTAATATATAAGTTGAATGATTCAACATTTTAGCTAATGTTTCACACTGATAGAAGCACATGTTCCAAATATTAAAGCTTATTAGTGTAGAGGATAATTTCTGGGAACAGCCTAGTTGTGCAAGTTTTATCCCTGATGGTTGATTCTGAGTAGGGATTAAAATGGAGAGGATATGGACGGATAAAGCTCGTACCATATCCGTTTTCATATTTTAGTTGGATAAGGAAACAAATACAAATTATCTCAAATACAAATAAGGACCAAATATGATTGGACATGAATACGGAAACAAATATTTCTCGGAACACGAAACCACCTAAACTTTTAATAAAAACAAATACAATCATACATAATTAACTCATATTACATAAAACGTTTCATCATAGACTAAACAATGCTAGTTAAGTTCAACATGTACAACATTACCGGTATAAATGCATGTCTAACTGATATTCTTATCCGTATCTGGATTATCCATTTTGAATTGTATCCGTATTTGTTTTTCTCTAGAGCGGACGGAAACTATTCGCTCGTTTTCATCCTGATTCTGACGTGAGTTTTATGCATTCTGACAGGTATGGCAAGTATTGGAAGATGTACTGCAACAAAGTACCGTGCAGGGTTATTCCTGGCATTTACTGAGGTTGTTGACCATGTTCAACAACTTCTCGGGATAAAACTCAGCCATGTTGTGAATTCCTTTCTCTGGGACGATCTACTGCTGTTTGTGTAATATGTCATTAGCTTGATGTATGCAGGATTAGATTCGGGCTGATTGGTTTCAACCTTTTGAGTTTGCTGTATCCAACCCTGACACAGATGAGTCAACGATGCCGCCAAATCGTGATTTTTCTTGTTAGCTCGCTGATAGGAGAGATGATTGCAGGATCATAGTTTGTGTAGTTTGTACCTTATAATGGATGTTTCGACTTCATTTTTCTGCTAGAAGCGATTAGGCAGCACGAAAATGAAATTGTTTGAGGTTCTGTACTGCTCGAATAATGTTGCTGCAACTGTATTATCCATGAACTGTAATAATTCAAAGTTTGGCAACAGGCATGGTGATTGGTTCTACACATTTTATACCTGACAATACCTCTGTACAATTCTCTTGATATCCTACACAGAACAATGTGTGGCGTGTGGTGTGTTTGAGAGAGGGGAAAGAAAAAGATTGAGAAGACACGTAAATTGAGGCAAGCCATTAACATGTGATTAATTTAGGTATTAATTATTTTACACTTAAGAAAGATTAATATGATTTTAATTAACTTTTTAAGTTTTTTTTTTCAATTAAGATACACATTCCTCCTCTCCCTCGCTCTTCTTTCGGCGCATTTAGGCTAGGCCGGCATGTGGATGGGGATATCGGGCATTATAGATGGGCGGCTTCTTTCGGCGCATTTAGGCTAGGCCGGCCTATGGATGGGGATATCGGACATTATAGATGGCCATCTGGGCCGCCCAGCACTGCACGGCTCAAGCCCGACTATGCCTGGGCCGAGGCTTGTCGGGTCGGCAAGACCCGATCGGCACACCGGACCGTGCCGTGCCAGCCCACGAGCGGCATACATGGCCCAGGAACGGCCCAATACTACTCGGGCCATGCTGGGCCAGCCCGAAGGCACGATAGCCTATTGTGCTTCCTCATAGAAAAAGTCTATTTTTGGTCCCTCAACTCTGTGGTTGTGTTTAAATGGCTGAAAAATTTGTATACCTCTTGTTTTGGGCATTTGCCTTATATGATTATTTAAGTCTATTTTGCGTCCCTATATTTTTTTTGATCGGGCTGTGCTGGGCTGGCCCACCGTGCCGAGGGTGCAGCCTAGGCACGGCTCGGCTGTTGGGCCGGGCCGGCACGGGCACACCCTAGTCGGGCCATGCCGTGCTTGGGCTGGGCCAAAATTGCGTGCTTTGGGCCGGGCCGTGAGCCTCGGGCCATATGGCCATCTATATCGGACATTTCTATATCCCATGCCTAAATCCTTAACGGTGGTCTATCGGACATTTCTATATAGATACTTCAAAACGCAAATTTTGGGCCAAGATCAAATGTAATACAATTTCTCCTAAGATAATTAGCTATGTGTTTAAAATACTCTTGTCCAGATACATAGCTAAAAGTTAATATAGTTTAGTACAGTAGTAGTATTAGATGGAATATATAGGCAAAAGGACTTAATATTAAGAGTTATGACTTGGAGCTTGAAAATCTTCTAGCAGCCGCAGCCTTTTCTAGAATCTCAAGTCTCCCTTATTTAAAGAAAAATAGTTTAGATTATTAGTCATATTATGAGAATTTATACATGTAAAATAAAAGATGAATTAGAAGCTATAAAAGAAACCTAGCTTTTGAATCTTAGGACCCGTTTGGTAGGGCTCTAACTCATAAATTTAATTTTAGGAGTTACGTCTGGAGTGGAGTTATGGAGCTCCCTAAACTCAATTCCATCTATCTTAGTTGGTGAGAGCACTTCAGCCAGCTCCATTTTCTTTTGAGTGGAGTTGAAATCATTGGTTTGTGCCAATTGATCCCTTAAGCTCCTCAAATAGGATCTAGGATTGTGAAATGACACAAAGTATTACCTCTTTTTTAAATTGTTTTCGTTCCTGCAAATCTCATACAAACCAAACGGATGTGGCTGATTACATGGTTATCCTTGTTAAATACATCCTAGCAAGAGTTTGTGACTGTATTATTTAAGTCTGTTATTTTTCCTCGGAAAAAGTATGTTTTACCCCCTGTACTATCGTGGTTGACCGAACCCTCCCCCCCCCGAAGTCGAAAACCAGTCATTTCGTACCCCGAACTATTAAAACCGGATACTTAACCCCCTTAAGCACACATTGGGGTGGTTTTGACCGGAGTCGTGCGCACATGGCAGTCCAACGTGGCAAGGTGGCTGAGTCAGCTGAGTCGCGCCTGGTTTATAGCCTTGACCCAGAAAAATTTCCCCTTCTCGTGAGAACCCTAGCACAGGCGATCTCGTCTGCGACTCTTGCACGGCGGCGAGAGTGGTGTGGTCAGAGGCGACGGGGCCGGAGATCTCCACCACGGACGCGGCGGCGACGGTGTGCAGTACGGCCACCTCGACCTCGTTGGCATGATGACGAGCTCAGGTACGTCCCGGGGCTCGGTGTCGTCTTCTTGGGTTGAAGGTCGTGAACCAGGAAGGATGCAGCCGCCAGTACCATATAGGGAGGGGCCTCTCGATTACGAGCTGCCAGTGTTTTGTGACTGCAAAGTGAAGGCGGCTAGGTGGATTTCGTGGAGTGTGGGTAACCCCGGGAGAAGATATTTCACATGCTACAATGCGCGTGTGAGTAAATTTCTATTTATTTTTGTTTTGGCTCATTTGTTTGGTTTCAAACTCATTCGACCTTGGATTATACATTTATTTGTGTAGACTGGTGGTTGCGATTTTTGGGAGTGGCATGACCCTGAGTGAGATCCATATTGGAAGCAATTGTTGCTTAATTTGAGGAATGCTGTGTGGACTGCAAGAGAAGAAATCAATGGGCTAAAGGCTCATCTCCAGGACAACAGGGATGAAGCCTTGAAGAACAGGGCAGTGAGCCGTAGCAAAGAAAGCAATGAGCTTGAATCATTGAGAGCAGCTCTTGAGCAGATAGAAGCTACAAACTGTTTTAGTTGATAGGATTACTCAACAACAGAAATGTATGAACATGTTGATGTATGCTTTAGCATTTGCTGTTGTTGTTTTGGTTGGTGCTATGTATGTTAGATTTTAGTGCAATCCTAAGTGTGAAATGCTAAGTGATGGCATGTGATGTATGGATGCATTTGGCAGTAATATGAGCCTTAAGAAATTATGTATGTGGACCTTGTCTGGTAGTTTGGAGTGACATTTGGAATAAATTGGAATGGCAGTAATGGCATTTGGTGATATAGCCTTAATTTCTGGAAAATGGTTAAAGTTAGCAAGCAACTTGTAATTGCAACATAAGTTTGCATAAGAACAAATTCACATTTATGGCATAGTAGCACTGCATACTGCTTTTCTGTGATCATCTCAGACATGAATAGATTGCATTGCATTTACTGCATTACTGCCTCAAATTCAGACATTAACACCAAGCATTGCATTGCTGCCCCAAATTCAAACATTAACATTGCAGGAGTATCTCAGGTCATAACATGCCATCAGGTACTACACAAAAGATGTCACATGTCTTAGATTACAGAAGTTTCATGCCATATCTTACTGCAGAAAAGATGGTGAACTTCTGCCTATTGCTATCCCAGTAATCTGGTCCAAAAGTATCCCCACTAAACAGGCCCAAAAGTATACCCACTAAACATAAGTACTATGTGTCCTGCTAAACATGTCCAAAAGTATCCCTAGGTTACTTTCTTATCCTATTCACTAGCATTCAACTTGTAACTGTCAACTTTCAACATCTATCCAGAGGACCTTCTAACTTTCAACTTCTTCCTGGATTGCTCCACTGCAACCATTCCAGCTGTAGCTGATGTTCTCTTTGCAGATGCCCTAGGTGATGTCCTTGTCTGTGCCACAGTCCTTGTCTTTGCCACATTCCTAGGTAAAGTTCTTGTCTTTGCCACATTCCTGGGTGAAGTTCTTGTCTTTTCCATAGTCCTGGGTGAAGCCCTTGCCCTTGTAGATGTAGATGCACTTGCCATCTGTTGTATAAGAACAAAACAACATCATTAGGTACAGTTGGGACAAGCTTCTATATTGCAGTTCAAAATAGAATAGTGAAATAAAAATACAAAGAAATAAGCACTAGTTACAGTTGGTGGAGCATCTGGCTGAACAGGTGTGGAGCTGGGCTGAGAACCTGTAGCCTGCAAGATCAAACTATATTAGCAAAAGCAGGAAAAAAAACTCAATGGGAAATATCAGGAAGTGCAGGAAAAAATTCAGAACTTGTAAGGGAAGTGTAACCTGCACATTGGGCTGTGTTTGAGATCTCTTAAGACAAGAAGCCTTGTTATGTCCAGGTTTTTTACACAACCTGCATGTCATAACAGTTCCAACCGTTGAGACTCTAGTTGCCTTTGGCTTCTCATGTGGCTCTCTTCTCCTATCCTTTTTGGAAGGCCTTCCTGGCATTTTGACATAACTAGGTGCCTGTGGGCTAGGCCTATCAGATTTGGGCCAGCTCTCCATCCCCTCAACTGGTTCCAGGCAGTAGCTATATGTCTTCTTGAATGAATAGATTGAGTAGCATGGTGCGATGTATCTGTCTAAACAGTTGGTCCTAAAATGTATGCAGGCTATAGCATGGCAGCAAGGGAGACCACTTAACTCCCAGTATCTGCATGAACATGTCTTTTTTTCAAGATCAACTGTGAACCTATGAGTTTGATGCTTCACTTCAAACTTGTCCATCCCATTGCAGATTGCATGACAAGAACTAGAATCTATGATGTAAGCATTCAGTTTCTTAAGAATGTTAGGACAAACTGATCCAACCCATTTATCCATCACTGTCCTTTGGGCCTGGATTCTAACCATTACTTTCCTTCTAATAGCTTCTAGCATGCTAATAATGGGTAGGAATCTAGCTTGAACTATCCATTTGTTGAAAGTCTCACAAATGTTATTATCTACAAAGTCACAGTTAGAGCCAAACCTGAACCATGCCCTACTCCAGTGCTTTGGATCAGTGTTCATTATAGCTCTTGCACCTTCCACAGTTTCTTGTGCTAGCTTTGCCTTGGCTAAGTTGAACAGCATCACATTTGGTGCCTTGGCACACCTCCAGAACTTCTTTTGCCACTCCTTTTTGCTGAACTTCTTCTTCCAATTGGCATAAATATGTCTTGCACAGTTCCTGTGTTCAGCATTTGGTGCCCAATTTTCTACAGCATTTAGTATCCCCTGAAAAACATCACAGAGCAGACAATACATCAATCATCGGAGCAGAAATTAATAGCAAACAAAATTCGATTTTCGGCTAAAGTTATGTACCTTCTGCTGATCTAAAATAAACACCAAACCATTACCATCACCCACTCCTAGGTCCTTGAACAGCAGATCACAGAACCAATCCTAGGAATCATTTGTTTCTTTCTCTACTATAGCCCATGCTAT